GGCGGGGGCGGCGGCGGCTGAGGGGAAGCCCCTGTCGCCTTGCTGAGGAAAAGAAGCCCACAATAAGTCTTACGCTATAGTTTCTTATAAAATGTTGTGAACCATGCTAGAGTATAGTAACACTCTCTTCCTCCTCTTTGTACCACCCCTTACATGGAACAAATGAAATACTTGGATAATTGGCTAAATGAAAAATGGCTATTTAGCTTTGATTGACCTAAAAATAGCTAAATGTAAATAAATTATGTTCAAAGATATTAATTGAGGGTACCATAGCATTTATACAGCGTCAACAATACTACCATGTGCCCAACTATTATCCCAGCTTAACTGTCACTTTAATGAAGTTCTAGGTTTTAGAATCAAGACCTAGATTCATTTCCTAGTTCTGCTGCCTATTTTATATCCTCAGATGGTCTCTTTGAAATCTACCACATTTAACCAGGCGTCATGGTGCACACCAGTTGTAGTCTCAGCAATTTGGGAGGCTGAGGCAGGAAGATCAAAATTTTGAGGCCATTTTCACCAACTTGACATGGCAACTTAGCGAGACCCTGTCTTAAAATAAAAAATGAAAAGAGCTGAGGATATGGCTCAGTGGTAAAGCTCCCCTGGGTTTAATCTCTAGTAACATGAAAAAAAAATTGTTTTCAAACCTATATCATTTGATGCCATATTGTATGCCTGTAGTTCCAGTGTGTGGGAGGCTGGAGGATCACTTGAGTCTGGGAGTTCAAGGCCAACCCCATCTATAAATGAATGAATGAATGAATGAAAGAAACCTACTTGAGAGTCATTGAGGATTATAAGTAATGTTTGGCAAATGGTTACTATTAATCTTTGAGTTTAAGAAACCTTAATTATTCTCTTGCTAAATTTTAACTTGACACTTATTTAAATATTTATTTTTTAGTTGCGGTTAGACACAATACCTTTGTTTTATTTATTTATTTTTATGTTGTGCTGGGGATTGAACCCAGGACCTTGCACTTGCTAGGTAAGCACTCTACCACTGTGCCACAACCCCAGCCCCTTAACTTGACATTTTATCTGAGTGTTTACTGCTAGTAGGCTATTGTGCTCTTGGGTTTTCCAGTTGCTAGAGATGTCATTGAAACACATTTGCCATTTGAAAAATGATCATAGTTGTGCTCTTGGATATCAAGTAACAAAGTTCAGTTTCCCCTCTTCCTTTGTCTTACTTTTTAAAAAAATAACTCTCATTCATATATACATATATGTACACATATATATGTTTTTTTTTAGTTGTAGATAGACACAATAACTTTATTTATTTATTTTTATGTGGTACTGAGGATCAAATCCAGTGCCTCACACATACCAGGCAGGTGTCTACCACTGAGCCACAACCCCAACGCTTGACATACCTTTACTTTGCTTTCTTGGTTCAGATCAACCAATATTTTTTTTAACATTTTTTTCTTTAGAGAGAGAGAGAGAGAATTTTAATATTTATTTTTTAGTTTTCGGCAGACACAATATCGTTGTTTGTATGTGATGCTGAGGATCGAACCCGGCCGCATGCATGCCAGGCCGCACGCTACTGCTTGAGCCACATCCCCAGCCCCTGGATCAACCAATATTGATTGGGCACCTACTATAAGCAAGGCTTGTTGAACAGAATCAGAACTTCCAGAAGGTTTCTATCCTCAAAGAACTTAAGACTATGATGTGTGAAAAATCATATTCTTATTAAACTACAAAAATTGTGTCTGATTTTATAGGAGCTGCCAATTTCCCCATAGAGAAAAGAGCTGGTGGAGCCAAAGAGGCACTAAGAAAGGCTGTGCAGTCTCCAGTTACCTTCCCAACAGGTAAGGAATAAAGAATAGAACGTTCTTAAATTTAATAGTAAATTTTAAATAACCCCAAATCAGACTTAGAAATTTCAAATGTAGATTTCTGGTTGAAGGGTGTAGTTACAGGAGGATGTGTTTCAGAGATAAGGCTTTGGAAAGTTTATTTGTATGAAATCCTAATTCACTGTTGACTTGGTAACCATGGACAAGAGTTGCAATTCCATTTATATAAGTCTCACTTTTCTCACCTACAAAATACAGGCTCTAACAGAATGTACATAAGAACTGTGGCAGATAGGCAGGGTACTGCTATCCCAATCCTACAGCTGAGCACAATGAGGCACAGAGAAGTCCAGGGACCTTCAGATCTCCTTAGGACAATAAAAGTAGTAGTAGTTAACAGTTTGCAAAGCCAGCTTCAGCAAAGGTGAGGCACTTAGCAACTCAGTGAGACCCTGTCCCCAAATAAAATACAAAATTGTGATGGGGGGCATGTGGCTCTACTGGTTGAGTGCCCATAAATTTAAAAAAAAAAAACAAAGAGTGCTTATTCTGCCAATTTGTTAACACCTTATATACATGATCTCACTTAATCCCCACACTCATCTAATGAGGTCTGTAGTTATCCACATTTAAAGAAAAGAACTGCCTTTTTCTCTGCGATACCTCTTCATTGCAGATCTTCCAGTTTACTACATTTCTCTTCAGCTATTTCCAATCTGATGTTCAACTCATTCATCAAGTTCTTAATGTGAATGGCTGTATTTTCTCAATGTTCTATTTGATTCTTTTCCCATTATTTCCACATGAATGCATTAAAACCTAAGCTTTTTAGTTATTAGGATCACTTTGAATCCTAGTAGCCTAATTTTCTGTGCTTTTAATTTTATAATCCCAGGCTAGATGTTTTTTTCTTTCAGTTTCTTATTTTAATCTTTTATAGAATATTTTCTAGTTTAGAGTACTCCGTAATCTTTTTGTGTGTGTGTGCTAGGGATTGAACCCAGGGCCTTGTACATGCAAGCAAGCACTCTACTACCTGAGCTACATTCCCAGCCCATTGGTAATTTTTAAATTATTTTCTAAGCAACTATCTAACAATGTTTAGTACATCAGATAAAATGTCCCCAATGTTGTCCTTAAAAGCAGTGGAAATTATATGTAAATGTATGTGTGTGTGTGTGTGTGTGTGTGTGTGTGTGTGTGTGTGTGTGTGTTTACTAGGGATTGAATCTAGTACCAGTAAGGTACATCTTCAACATTTCTTATTTTTTAAAAATTTGAGACAGGATCTAAGTTGCCAAGACTGGCCTTAAACTTGTGATCCTGTTGCCTCAGCCTCCCAGGTATCTGGGATTACAGGAGTGTGCAACTGTGCCCTGTTTATATTGTATTTTTATGAAAGCTTCAGAGATAGAAGTGCATGAGGTATTTGATCATTGTCCAGCGGTAGCCTACCTCTGAGAGAAAAAAAAATGAGTATAACTCTGGGTTTCTGGCTTGAGTGCTGACTAGACTGTGGCCCACTAATTGACACAAGTACGGCAAGAGAAACAAGATTTTTAGTTTGTTTGTGCTTTGCAATGCTGGAGACTGAACTCAGTACCTTGTGTGTCTGAGGCAAGTGTCCGACTATGCTACATTCCCAGATCCTGATAGGATCTCACTAAGTTGTCTTGCTGGCCTTGAATTTGCAATACTCCTGCTCAGCCATCTAAATAGCTGTGATTACAGATATGTGCCACTAGGGAGTAAGGTTTTATTTTTAGGAGTGGAAGAAGTAATGGGTTTAGGTTTATCATTCGGTTTTAGATTTTTCAGGTATTGTTTGGCAATTTGTTCAAAGAAAGTGAGTGTCGTTTCCCACTCTCCATTAGAGAAAGAGTGTATTTGCTGGCCTGATTTCCGCTATTGGGTTTCTTCACCTTGGAAAGCTTTTACTGACACATATAGACCAAAAGTGAAGGAACAGAAGAAGACACTCTATGCAAATGGTAACAAAAAAGAGAAAGGGTAACTATATGTAGATCAAATTACATTTCTCTTTAAGTCAGAAACTATCACAAAAAACGAAGGTCATTACTTAACGATAAAGGACTCATCAAGAAGACATAACAGTTATAAATATATATGCATATAACATTGGAGAACCCAGATACATTAAGCCAATACTAATGCATATCAGCAGAAATTGATAGGACTTTAGATAAAATGGACCAAATACATACAGAACCTTCCATTCAACAACAGCAGAATACACATTCTTCTGTAGTGTACCTGGAACATTCTCCAAGATACATGGACTATATTGTAGGCCACAAAACAAGTCTTGACAAATTAAAATCAAGAGTTTCATTTTTGTTTTGTTTTGGTTTTTAGTGGGGGAAGTGCTGGGATTTGAACCCAGGGCTTTGTACGTGTTGAACAATTGCTCTTCCATTGAGACATCCTCAACTCATAGCATGTTTTGTTTTGTTTTTTAAATACACAACAGTGGAATGCATTACAATTCTTATTACACATATAGAGTAAAATTTTTCATATCTTTGTATATAAAGTATGTTCACGCCAATTTATATTTTTATACATGTACTTTTTTTGCATTACAGTTCTTATTACACATGTATACCATGATTTTTCATATCTCTGTTTGTATGTAAAGTAGTTTGACACACAATTCATGTCTTCATACATGTACTTTGGATAATGATGTCCATCACATTCCACCATCCTTGATAATCCCCTACCCTCTTCCTTTCCCTCTCACCCCTCTTCGCTAACTAGAATTCATCTAATCCTCTCATGCTCCCCCTCCCTACCCCACTATGAGTCAGCCTCCTCATATGGAGAAAACATTTGGCATTTGTTTTTTGGGGATTGGCTAACTTCACTTAGTATTATCTTCTCCAACGCCATCCATTTACCTGAAAATGCCATGATTTTATTCTCTTTTAGTGCTGAGTAAAATTCCATTGTGTATATATGCCACATTATTTTTACCCATTCATCCACTGAAGGGCATCTAGGTTGGCTCCAAGGTTTAGCTATTGTGAATTGTGCTGCAATAAATCTTGATGTGGCTGTGTCCCTGTAGTATGCTGTTTTTAAGTCCTTTGGGTATACACCAAGGAGAGAGATAGCTGGGTCAAATGGTGGTGGTTCCATTCCCAGATTTCCAAGGAATCTCCATACTGCTTTCCATATTGGCTGCACCAATTTGCAGTCCCACCCCACATCCTCACCAACAGTAGTTGTTTGTCTTCATAATAGCTGCCATTCCGACTGGAGTGAGATGATATCTTTGAGTAGTTTTGATTTGCATTTCTCTGGTTGCTAGAGATGATGAGCAGTTTTTCATATATTTGTTGATTGATTGTATATCATCTTCTGAGAAGTATCGGTTCAGGTCCTTGGCCCATTTGTTGATTGGGTTATTGGGTTTATTTTTGGTGCTTAGCTTTTTGAGTTCTTTATATACCCTAGTGATTAGTGCTCTATGTGATGTGTGAGGGGTAAAAATTTGCTCCCAAGATGTAGGCTCTGTATTCATCTCACAGATTGTTTCTTTTGCTGAGAGAAAACTTTTTAGTTTGATTTCATCCCACTTATTGATTCTTGATTTTAATTCTTGCGCTATAGGAGTCTTATTAAGGAAGTTGGGGCATAATCCTACATGATGAAGATTAGGGCCTACTTTTTCTTCTATTAGATGCAGATTCCTAGGTCCTTGATCCATTTTGAGTTAAGTTTTGTGCATGGTGAGAGATAGGGGTTTAATTTCATTTTGTTACATATGGATTTTCAGTTTTCCCAGCACCATTTGTTGAAGAGGCTATCTTTTCTCCAGTTCATGTTTTTGGCACCTTTGTCTAATATAAGATAATTGTAGTTTTGTGGGTTAGTCTCTGTGTCCTCTATTCTGTACCATTGGTCTACCAGTCTGTTTTGGTGCCAGTACCATGCTGTTTTTGTTACCATCGCTCTGTAGTATAGTTTAAGATCTGGTATAGCGATGCCTCCTGCTTCACTCTTCCTGCTAAGGATTGCTTTAGCTATTCTGGGTCTCTTATTTTTCCAGATGAATTTCATGATTGCTTTTTTTTTATTTCTATGAGGAATATCATTGGAATTTTGATTGGAATTGCATTAAATTTATATAGTGCTTTTGGAGGTATGGTAATTTTGATAATATTAATTTTGCCTATCCAAGAGCAAGGTAGATCTTTCCATCTTCTAAGGTCTTCTTTGATTTCTCTCTTTAGGGTTCTGTAGTTTTCATCATATAGATCTTTCACCTCTTTCGTTAAATTGATTCCCAAGTATTTTTTTTTTTTTGCGGTTATTATGAATGGGGTAGTTTTCCTCATTTCCTTCTCAGAGGATTTGTCTTTACCACACTAGAATGAAACTAAATATCAAAAATAGGAAGAATTTTGGAAAATTCACAAATATGTAGAAATTAAAATGCTCCTGAATAACTATGGATCAAAGAAGAAAATAAAAGAAAAATTAATAGTATCTTCAAAAGAAATTGGAAACACAACATACTAAAATCTATAGGATGCAGCAAAAGCAGTTCTAATGGAAAATTTTATTGCAATAAATGCCTACATTAAAAAATATGAAAGATCCCAATTAATTAACCTAACATTATACCTCAAGGAGTGAGAAAAAGAGAAACAAACTCACGTTTAGCAGAATGAAGGAAATAATAAATATCAGAATAGAAATAGAGAATAAAAAAACAACATGGGAAACTAATAAAACCAAGCTGGTTTTTGAAAAAATAGAGTTGATAGACTTTTAGCTGGACTAAGAAAAGACTCAAAAATGTAAGGTAAGGAACAAAACTGGAAACATGACACCTCAAATAAAAAGGATCATGAAAGACTTGTGAACAATTTTACAGCAATAAATTTGATAACAGAGGAAAGTGGATAAATTTCTAGAAAAATGCAACCTATCAAAGTTGAGTCAGGGCCAGGCACAGTGGTGCGCACACCTGTAATCCCAGCAGATCTGGAGTCTGATACAGGAGGATCAAAGTTTCAAAGTCAGCCTCAGTAAAAGCCAGATGCTAAACAACTCAGTGAGACCCTGTCTCTAAATAAAATACAAAATAGGGCTGGGGATGTGGCTTAGCTGTCAAGTGCTCGTTGAGTTCAATCCTTGGTACAAAAAAAAAAAAAAATTGAGTCAGGAAGAAATAAATAGGAAGCCTGAAATAACCAATAACAAGCCAAAAGATAGAAGTAGTAATTTGAAACCTTCTAACACAGAAAAATCTAGAACTAGATGGCATTACAGTTGAATTCTGTCAAACTTTCAAAGAAGAATTAATATTAATACATAATAAACTCTTCCAAGAATAGATCTAGAGAAAATACTTCCTGACACATTTGTGAAGCCAGCATCACCTTGATGCCTAAGCCAGACAAAGGAAGTACAAGGGAACTACAGGCCAATATCACTCATAAACATTCATGCAACATTTGTCAATAAAATATTAGCAAATAAAATTCAACAATACACCAAAAAAATTATACATCTCTATCAAGATGGATTTATCCCTGCATGCAAGGCTATTTTAGCATACACAGATCAAGTAGTGTGATATATCATATTAACAGATTGAAAGATGTGATCATATCAGCTGACACAGGAAAAACATTTGAAAAATTCAACATCTTTTTTTGATAAAAACTTGTTTACATTCTAGGAATACAAGAAAACATCCTCAATTTAATGAAGGCTATTATAAAAATCCCTCACAGTTAGATTAGCATGATTGATTTGTGGAGAAACTGAAAGCTTTTCCTCTAAAATCTGGTAAAAGTAAGAACATGCTTTCAACTCTTCTATTTAAGACAACTCTTGCTAGTAATAAGGCATCCAAATCAGAAAGGAAGAAGTATACATAATTCCATATGTAGAAAACCTCTAAGACTCCACTAAATAAAAACTTGGGTCTAACAAATGAACTGAGTAGTTTTAGGATATAAAATCAGCATACAGAAATTCATTGCATCCCTATATACAAACAATGACTAGCCAAAAAATGAATCAAGGAAACAGTTTCAGGGGCTGAGGATATAGCTCAGTGGTAGTGCCTGCCATGCATGAATGAGGTCCTAGATTGGATCCCCAGGACCACAAATAAAATAAAAGTTTGCTTTCGATAGCATTAAAAAAACTCTTAAAGAATGAATCTAACCAAGGAGATGAAAGACCTGTACACTGAAAACTTTTAAATACTGATGAAAGAAATTATAAAAGATACAAAAAAAAAAAGTCTAGATATTTCAGGCTTATAGCTTAAACAATGTTGTAAAAATGTCCATAGTACCTAACACAAGATATAGATTCAATACAGTCCCTATCAAAAGCAATATCTAGATTCAATGCAAATCCCTATCAGAAATGAAAATACAATTGTAAAATTTGTATGGAACTACAAAAAAATCTCAAAGTAGCCAAAACAATTCTGGGCAAAAACCAAAATGGGAAGCCTCACATTCCTGATTTAAAAATAGAATACATTGTGTGCTGAGTGTGTAGCTTGGGTACAGAACACTTGCTGAGCATGTATGAAGGCCTGGGTTCAACCCTCAGCACCACAAAATAAATAAAATTATATTAGAAAACTATAGTAATCAAAACAGAATGGTAGTGACATAAAAACAGACACACAGACCAATGAAACAGAAGAGAAAATTCATAAATACATCCAAACATATATGGCAAACTAAATTTCAACAAGGGAACCAGAGAGATACAGTGTGGAAAGGATGGTCTCTTCGGGAAATAATACTTGGAAAACAAGATTTCCACACTCAAAAGAAATCAGACCCTGTGTTAGTCCTTTCTTTCTACCACTGTGAAAATATTTGAGATACTCAACTTTATAAGAAGGAAAATTTTATTTTGGCTTACGGTTCAGAGATTTCAGTTCGCAGTTGTTTGTCCCCGTTGCTTTGGGCCTATTCTGAGGCAG